TTTTCGAGATAATTAGTGTACCCACTTAAAAGAATCACCCTGTATATATGTCTTATTATCGTACAGAATTTTATAAAAAATATGTCAGCTGTACAGATACTTACGTGCATCGGTGCTCCGTGTCCCGGTGTGCCCATAAAAATCCAAAGAGTTTGCTTCCTGTCTGACAGCTTTGGCAAGAAACTCGGTAGAGATATGTGTTCCTTCAAACGGTTTATTGATTTACGTTCACAATTGCTCCTGAGATTATTTCAAAATTAATTTTTGTTTTTTATTTTATATACCTACCTAATGTTATTTAACCTATTAATTTATTATAATAATATTATGCAAGTATCCACACCAGCAATAACTATTATGCTATTTGAGAAGGTTCTTATAGCTACATAAACCGGCAATTTCAGTCAAATTTTAGGGAGGGGATGGTGTTGTAAGTTTTATTTTTAAGACTTATTTTAATAAACATAAAATGTTACATCATCARAATCCTTAAGAATAGTATTAACATTATTATACCCTTAATCATAAATAGTTTCTATTTTTGTACAATAAACTATAATAATACGTAAACATAATATAAAACATATCGATCAAGAAAAATTTAAAAATTTTGATTGAATTCATTTTTTTTTTCATATAGGAAAATATTATATATTATTTTCATTATTTTCATTTTTGCTATTTTCGTTATTTTCCTAATATTATACTACCTAAAGGCTATAACTCCTAGTGGAGTACGCAGCGGGGTGTCAGGGATATATTAATATACCCAGTGCAGACGGCACTACGTATTTTGGAGCCCTGGGAAATATTTTTGGTGAGACCCTGGATTTTTTCTCTGCATAGGTACCATAACATTATTAAAAACAAATAAGGAAACATAGGGTCTCCCTGACCTTGGGCATAGCACAGAACGCCCATCCCTAATCATCACATGCCACCACTAATACATCCTTAAATAGTTTAAAGTATCTTTTCAAATAATTATGAAATGCTGACTAAAAAAGCCATCATAGATTCGTGTTATTATGAAAAAATTCTAGTACGCCAATAATATTATATGTAATAGGTACTATCCGACGTACCATCCAATGTACCACGGCGCATATCCGGGTGCCATCGCTGCCCGTTGGTCGTCCATATTCAGAGCTTCCTCGAGCGTGGTGAATTCGGTTTTGTACGGGAAAAACTGGCATGGCGTTAAAAGTTTGGAATCGGACAAGTTTTTGAAAAGTTTAAATCCAAAATCGGCCGACCTCTCGGCGTTGGAATTTTCAACAACCACTACTGGTCGTCCTGTGTACGCGTAGCTATGAAAAAAATAGATAACATTTAAAAATCCCTTAAATCGTTAAAACATGTGTATATGTATATAAACTCGAGGAGGCTTCATCTCAACATGTCTGCAGTTTACCAAGTAAAAAAAAAAACGATTCATGTTCAGAATTTGCTCATTTCTCAAAAACAAATTGTTCAAGATATCTATTAGACATTAAGTTGATATAATTTTTCCCACCATCATGATGGAAAATTCAACAAACATTTATAACACAAAAATCAGTAAAAACTTTATTTAAAGATCGAGGCTACCATGGCCTTATTTAAGCCAAGCTACGTTAAAAAATTGTAGGTACTTAGATAGGTTAATCATTACCTATGGGCTATGGGCCATGGTTGGTAATGATTAAAAATCAGGTGAGTAAGTCTCTTTATAGCTGGTGAACGAAAAACAATTTTGAATTGGAAATTATGTGTTTATTTGCAACTTCTATTTCTAAAGACATTTTATAAATTTATAATTATTTATTATAATATTATTTATTCTCAGCATTAATGATTTTTTTT